CATCATGAGCAAGGTGAAACCATATCAGAGCTCCAGAGGAAGCTTGCAGAAACGATCGAAGGGAAGAGTTTTTTTCTAGTTCTAGATGATGTCTGGAATTCCAATGTATGGATGGATCTATTAAGGCCTGCATTACATGAAACAACATCTGGAGTAATATTGGTAACGACAAGAGATGATCAAATTACAAGGAGAATAGGTGTAGATCATACCCATCGAGTTGATCTCATGTCAGTAGAGGTGGGATGGGAGCTACTTTGGAAGAGCATGAACATTGAGGAAGAGAAAGAAGTGCAGAATTTAAGAAACACGGGGATTAAGATTGTTCGTAAATGCGGTCACCTCCCTCTTGCAATCAAGGTTACAGCTAGTGCTTTGGCAAGCAGAGCTCTAACGGAGAATGAGTGGAAAAAGTATTTTGGCAAATATGCTGGTTCCCAGAGCATGCTTTCTGATGAAATAGAAGGAGCTCTGTATCTAAGCTATGATGAGTTGCCGCATCGTCTGAAACAGTGTTTCCTTTATTGTGCTTTGTATGTTGAAGATTCTATCATTCAGCATGATGAAGTTACCTGGTTATGGATTGCTGAAGGCTTCATCGAGGAGCAGCAAGGACAACTAATAGAAGACATAGCAGAAGAGTACTACTATGAGCTAATACATCGGAATCTCCTCGAGCCAGATATTTTAAGTTTTAGCCAGGCTAGATGCAAAATGCATGACCTCTTAAGACAACTTGCTTGTAATATATCAAGAGAAGAATGTTTTATTGGAGATGTTGGAACATTAAGGGGTGAAACTATGTCAAAACTGCGGCGTGTTACTGCTATCACTAACAAGGATAAATTAGTCTCACCTAGTATGGATAAGGTGGAAGTTAAGGTGAGAACTTTCCTAACTATCAATGGTCCGTGGAGCATCGAGGATGCATTATTCAAGAGATTTATGCTCCTTCGTGTTTTGGTATTGAACAGCTCACTTGTACAGAGCATTCCGAACTATATAGGAAAATTGATACATCTGCGCCTACTTAATCTAGATTACACTGGCATATCTTTTCTTCCGAAATCCATTGGCTCCCTAAAGAACCTTCAAGTACTGAGCTTGAGATGGTGTCATGATCTGCACACTCTTCCTTCAGCAATGACCCTGTTGACCAGTCTTAGATGTCTTGATCTTTATGGCACAGAAATAAATCAGGTTTCAGAAGGGATATGGAAACTGAAGTTTCTCACTCGTTTAAGCGACTATCCTGTTGGTGATGGAAGTGATAATGCTGTTGTACAAGATGGATGAAAGTTGGAAGAGTTGTCTTCTTTGTCGCAGATGAAGTTTCTTTATCTTGGTAAATTGGAAAGAGCAGCTCACTGCAGTACAAATGCAGTGCTGACGGACAAAAACCATCTAAAAAAACTAGCACTGGAGTGGAGTGAGCGTGAGGGATCATATTCTGAAGAAGAAGTTAGCAATACTGAGAAGGCATTTGAGAAGCTAATACCTCCACGCAACCTGGAAGACCTAAGTATGTTAGGATTCTTCGGTCGGCAGTATCCGACCTGGTTTGGTACCACCTGTTTGTCTTCATTAATGTCCTTGCTCCTCAAAGGTGTACGATCATGTGTGCATCTTCCACCCATTGGGCAGCTACCAAACTTGAAATTTCTGAGAATTGATGGAGCACATGCGGTTACCAAGGTTGGACCTGAATTTGTTGGCTACAATAAGGGTGATTATGTGTGTAATGAATTGGTCGCCTTCCCTAAACTTGAACGGTTGATCTTCAAGGATATGCCCAACTGGGAGGCGTGGTATTTTTTTGAGGAAGAAGTTGCTGCTGCTGATGTAAGGGGAGAGGATGGAGCTGCTGAGATTCATAAAGAGGATGTCCAATCTGCAAGGCTGCGACTGCTGCCTCGTTTGGTGCAGTTGCAACTCGCAGGTTGCCCGAAACTGAGGGCTCTACCACCATAGCTTGGAGAGGACACCGTCAGCTTGAAGGAGATCCTTTTAATTGGAATAAACAACTTGAAAGTTGTGGAGGACTTCCCTCTGCTATCTGAGCTCCTTGATATTGTGGATTGTGAAGGCCTGGAGAGGATCTCCAACCTCCCACAAGTGACAGAACTGCATGTACTTGGTTGTCCAAACTTAAGCCATATAGAGGGGTTGGGAAGTTTGCAGCAGCTGGGGCTGGGTGAGGATATGCAAGAGATCTCTTCCCGCTGGCTGCGTGGGCTCCAAGAGCAGCACCAGAGACTTGACGGTGAAGACCTGGATGTCTACCAGGTAGATGGCTCAAGGTATATATGCGCACTGCACACTGGTTGGATATTTAGTACTCCCTCCGTCTGGAAATACTTGCCGGAGAAATGGATTTCCGGACAGAGGGAGTATTGTGTTTCATTCTTTTAGCAGCCTTGATTCATGTTCTCACAATTCAATTTTGTACCTCAGCGGATTCATGCACAAATCACATCTTTGTTCAGTTGTATTGCATTTGCATGCCACCGTATATGTTTATGTAACCAAAATACCTGAACCTTGTACACATTCGAAAACTAGTAGATGTCCCTTGGCTGCAGGTGCAAGCGTACAAGTTGTTAAGTGCCGTATAATTTTGGCTCTAAATTGCTCATGTGTTTTCCTTGTGTAACTACCATGCATTGGAGACCCATGTTGTTGCATACATTCTCATAATCTTCCTCTTAGAGTTGATAATAGTGCAATGATATCGATTTCAGGGCACAGTATTAGTACTCCAAGGGGCAAGCTCTGTTCTCTGCGATGGAGCTGAAGAAGAACAAGGAAACTGCAGAAAAGTACTTACTAGCTACACCAGCTGCCGTAGCAATTAATAGTGCAATGCAGTACTCGAGTGGTAGTACCTTCTCTATTCTTAAGTTAGTGTGTGATGGAGATCGATGATACTCTCTTGACGTTTTATCAGCCTTTTAATTTCTTATGGAAACACGATGCACTGCACTCTGCTTTAAGCTAAGCGTCTTGTCTGTTTTTGGCTACTGTTAGGCTTCGTGGACGTTTAGTTTAGTTGGGAGGAAATGGACATATTTGGTTAATTGGAACGTTGTATGTAATCAAACTGAAGAGAGGTGCATCTCTTGTGTACTCCCTCCGTCCCAAAATTCTTGTCTTAGATTTGTCTACATATGGATGCATCTATTCACGTTTTAGTGTTAGATACATCCGTATCTAGATAAATCTAAGACAAGAATTTTAGGACGGAGGGAGTACTTGTTTACTCCTACGCTGGCTCAAACTTATTAGAATAACTCAACTTGTTCTCCCATTTTTACTGTTTTTTCCGAAAAAGTTAATCATTATGATGTTGTCCCGTTATGTACTCTGTCGCAATCGGGGTCTTCAGCTTTGTGGTTGTGCTGGTGGACGATAATTACTAGTCCTAAAATCTGTTTGTGACACATGAATGAATCATCCTTCTTGTGTTTTTTAGGACTAATAAGGTTATTACACTCATGGACGGACAATGCTATTGGCGCTGGCCAATGCTATTGGTCAATTATAAAAGAGCAATGGCAATAAGCAGCCAACGGGCAGCTGCTTGCCAATCTCTTTCAGAAGACTAGTCTAGCAGGCCGCCTTTGTGGACTGTGCTGCGTGGCCACGAAACGCAAGCAGAGGAGGGCCGGCCATTTATCATCTACTGCTGTGTGGTAGCTAGCTAGTATGTTACTGGTATTGGCCCAGGCAAGCCTTGAGGAAATCTGAAGATTTTGTTCGCTCCCTTCTTCTTCTGCAACTGCAAGCAGAGCAAGTTTCTGTCTTGATCGCTGTTGGTTGAATGACCATCAGTGGCTTCTCAGTCTAGCTACCCTCTCTATTCAGGTATATATATATATTTTCAGTTCAGTTATGTGCACTTCCGGTGCTCCTTCGTTCTGCTCACTAGTTGCTCAATAATCTTGTATCATCTATTGCAGGTGTAGCAGCATCGTTTTCTCCTGGTGATTGGCTATAATCTTGTATTAGTATCTATTTTGATAGGCTGGAAGACTGGGTGCAAGGTAAGACTTGCTCTTGGGACCTTTGTTTCATAACTTCAGCGGAATAAATTATGATGATTGTAGGTTAGCATGTCGGAAACCGATTAGAGTTAAGATGGATTAGACAACCATACATAATTAGCTGGTTGTTATATTTAAAAATACTCTTGCATTCAAAACAGTTATGTGCACTTCCGGTACTCATTTGTTCTGTTCACTAGTTGGTCAATAATCTTGTATCATCTCTTTATCAAAAAATAAATAAAAAACCTTGTATCATCTATTGCAGGTGTATCAGCATGGCTTTCTCCTGGTGATTGGCCTATAATCTTATATTTCTATTTTGATTATAGCTTGCACTCAGCCTTGCGGGATCCTTAAACTATCGATAGGCTGGAAGGCTGGTTCTAAGGTAAGTCTTTCGACCGTACCTGAGAGAGGTTGGGACTTTGGTTTCAGAAATACAGTGGAATAAATTATGATGATTGATAGGCTGCCATGTACGAAACCAATTAAATTTAAGATGGATTAGAAAAACAATAATAAAAGCTGGATGATTTTTTTGTATCACTGTATGTACTAACTAAATGCAACATTTTTGGTGCTAGTTCGGTGTGCAGGCTGCTATGAAGTTGCCATCCCATGGACTTTCAACTGGGCAAAAAAAAAAAAAACCCAACAAACGATGTAAATTTGCAATCATAAAAAATAATTAAAGAACAGAATGCCAAATGATCAAGAATTTTGACCTCAATACTTGGCGCTACCGCTCAATCTGTATGTGCATAGCTATGTTATGTTAAATTATTCAAAATGTCAATGGCAGCCCACTAGTGATAAATTTCAAGCATTGTCCCACATTCAAAAGCATGTTATCATACCTTGTGCATTCATTTTCAGCTTTCGGGTTCTTCCATTCTTCGGGAAAAATCATCCTAGTGTTTTTGGTGGACCCCTGGCGCTGAGTTTGTCGGATCCATGGCGGCCATAGTTGAAACTTTGCTTAAATCAAGTGTCACTAAGTTGCAAGATGTCATTATGGATGAGGCCATACTAATCCTAGGGGTTGAAGAAGAACTAACAAAATTGTTGCGACGAGTGGAACTAATTCAGTGTTGTATATATGATGCTGAGAAAAGGAGGACAAAAGAGCAAGCAGTAAACAATTGGCTTGGTCAATTGAGAGATGTTATATATGAAGTTGATGAAATCCTGGATGTGGCTAGATGTAAAGGAAGCAAGCTACTTCTTAACCACCCTTCACCATCATCAGGCAAATCAGTTGCATGCAAAGGCCTTTCAGTTTCCTGTTGTTTTTGCAACATAGTGGCACGCCATGATGTTGCTGTTCGGATTAGAAGCCTCAATAAAAAGATTGAGAGCATTGCAAATGACAAGATATTTTCAACTTTCAATAATAGCACACAACCTATTGGAAATGGCCGAACATCAAAACTGGTAAGAAGTTCCAACCTTGTTGAGCCCAACCTTGTGGGGAAGGAGATTCTACATTCTACCAGGAAGTTAGTGGACTTAGTTCTTGCACACAAGGAATGCAAGTCTTACAAACTTGGTATTGTTGGAACTGGAGGAGTTGGTAAGACAACCCTAGCTCAGAAAATCTACAATGACCAAAAATTAAAAGGATGCTTCAAGATGCACGCATGGATTTGTGTATCACAAGACTACAACGAAGTAACTCTTCTTAAAGAGGTTCTCCGGAATGTTGGTGTGCATCATGAGCAGGGTGAAACCATAGCAGAGCTGCAGAGGAAGCTTGCAGAAGCAATTGAAGGGAAGAGTTTCTTTCTGGTTTTAGATGATGTGTGGCATTCCAATGTATGGATGGATCTATTAAGGCCTACATTACACAAAACAATGTCCGGAGTAATATTGGTAACCACACGAGATGACCAAATTACAAGGAGAATAGGTGTAGATCATACCCATCGAGTTGATCTCATGCCAGTAGAGGTGGGATGGGAGCTACTTTGGAAGAGCATGAACATAGAGGAAGAGAAAGAAGTGCAAAATTTAAGAAACATGGGGATTGAGATTGTTCGTAAATGCGGCCACCTCCCTCTTGCAATCAAGGTTACCGCTAGTGCTTTGGCAAGCAGAGATCTGACGGAGAATGAATGGAAAAAGTATTTGGGCAAATATGCTGGTTCCCAGAGCATGCTCTCAGATGAAACAGAAGGAGCTCTGTACCTAAGCTATGATGGGTTGTCGCATCGTCTTAAACAATGTTTCCTTTATTGTGCTTTGTATGCTGAAGATTCTATCATTGAGCGTGAAGAAGTTACCTGGTTATGGATTGCTGAAGGCTTCATCGAGGAGTGGGAAGGCCAACTACTAGAAGACATAGCAGAAGAGTACTACTACGAGCTAATCCACCGGAATCTCCTCCAACCAGATATCTCCTATTTTGACATGTCTCACTGCAAAATGCATGACCTCTTAAGACAACTTGCACTAAACATATCAGGAGAAGAATGTTTTATTGGAGATGTTGAAACATTAATGGGTGAAAATATGTCAAAATTGCGACGTGTTGCTGCTGTTACTAAGAAGGATATGTTGGTGTTATCTAGAGTGGATAAGGTGGATGTTAAGGTCAGGACTTTCCTAACTGTTAAGGGTCCACGCAGAATTGAGGATACATTGTTCAAGAGATTTCGGCTTCTTCGTGTTTTGGTACTAAATTACACACTTGTGCAAAGCATTCCAGAATACATAGGGAAATCGATACATCTACGTCTACTTAATCTTAATAATACAGACATATCTTGTCTTCCGGAATCCGTTGGCTGCCTAAAGAACCTTGAAGTACTGAGCTTGATATGGTGTGATCATCTGCACACTCTTCCTTCGGCAATAACCCTGTTGAGCAGCTTAAGATGTCTTGATCTTCGCGGCACCGAAATAAACGAGGTTCCAAAAGGGATAGGGAAACTAAAGTTCCTCACTTATGTAGTAGATTATCCTATTGGTGATGGAAGTGATGATACTGTTGTGCAAGATGGATGGAAGTTGGAAGAGTTGTCTTCTTTGTCGCAAATGAGGTATCTTATTCTTGCTAAACTGGAAAGAGTGGCTCCTTGTAGTACAAATGATGTGCTGACAGACAAGGAGCACTTGAAAAATCTAGTACTAAAGTGGTCCATTTTTGGAGAGGGTACATATTCAGAAGATGACGTTGGCAACACTGAGAAGGTCTTTGAGCAGCTAATACCTCCACACAACCTGGAAGGCCTATCAATTAATAGTTTCTTTGGTCAGCGTTATCCCAGCTGGTTTGGTACCACTTGTTTGTCTTCGTTAATACACTTGAAACTCCTGGGTGTACGATCATGTGTGCATCTTCCACCGATCTGGCACCTACCAAACTTGAAATATGTGAAAATTGAAGGAGCACATGCAGTTACCAAGGTTGGACCTGAATTTGTTGGCTGCAAGAAGGGTGATCATGTATGTAATGAGTTTGTCGCTTTCCCTAAACTTGAATTGTTGATCTTCTCAGATATGCCTAACTGGGTGGAGTGGTCTATTTTTGAGGAAGAAGTTGCTGATGATGAACAGGGAGAGGATGGAGTTGATGAGATTCGAAGAGAGGATGCCCCATCTACAAGGTTGCGACTGCTGCCTCGTTTGTTGGAGTTGTACCTCCATTACTGCCCGAAGCTGAGGGCTCTCCCGCAACAACTTGGAAAAGACACCGCCTGCTTGAAGGAGCTCAATTTAAGAGGACTGAACAACTTGAAGGCCATGGAGGACCGCCCAGTGCTCTCTAAACTCCTTGTTATTGACGATTGTGAAGGCCTGGAGAAGGTCTCCAATCTCCCTTGTGTGACTGAACTGCATGTAGGTGGTTGTCCAAACTTAAGCAACGTAGCAGGATTGGGCAGTTTGCATCAGCTGGGGTTGGACAAGGATATGCAAGAGATCTCTTCATGCTGGGTGCATGGGCTTCAAGAGCAGCACCAGCGACTTCATGGTGAAGATCTGGATATCTACACGCTGTTTAAGAAGTAGATGGCTGGCTCAAGGTATATATGAAGACTGCACACTGGTTGGATATTTAGTATTAGTATTGTCTTTTATCGTGTCAACCATGGTTCATATTCTCACAAGTACGTGCATTGGAAGTTTGAAATGCCATGCGGTTACTTAGATTATCATAATCATCCTTTTAGAGTTTATAATATTGGCATCTAAACCTAATTTCTCAGCATGTGTTCTTCCATAAACCAAATTGTGTTTCCTAATTCATATTATATACTCGGCAAAATGGTGTCAGCCTAGGACTGGTGGCGCAGATCTTTTCGGCTGGCAAAGCGCGGGGCATACTAAGTTGAGGAAGCCTATCCATGCTGAAGATGTGCAAGTGTGCCATGGTCTGTAGCGAGCTGGTGAAAGAAGTGTCCTATTTTTCTTTGGGCAGGTGCCCTGGAATTAATGTATCCAGCTTCATCTTATTTCTTTCTGAACTTGTCCCAGAGACCTTTGTTGTCCTGAATCTGCACGGCATAGTTTTGTTCTTTGGATGTAACCCGCGTATTTCGATTTATTTCATTCTGAACTCGGGGTCAGAGGCCCTTTCCTGTAGTGAACCTGCGTGCCACGGTTTTTTGTTGTTTGAATGTAATAGATGAATTTCGTTTGGCACGATTTTGTTCTTTGAGTGGAAGTGATGAATTTTATTGTGTTTCATTCTGAGTTTTGGGCCTGAGGCGTTGCCACACTGAAACTGCATAACCTGTATTGCCAAACCTATATTTTGTTTATTCATATGATTTGATTATGTGAATGGAAGTGGGGAATTTTGTTTTATTTCTTTGAATGTAAGAATGAACATTCTGTTCCACTGTATCGCCAAACTACATAAGTAGAAGGACTATTTGACTGAGTGGAAATCATAACACATAAAAAGTACTCCTGCATATCCTCGGTGTTGCAGGAAATCATGGACGATGAAGACGATGGCAAACTGACACAGCTGCAGAATTGGTAGAAATTAGGGTTCTACCGGGTCTAGGCCGGAGATTGTAGGAAAGGAGGGAGTTGGTTGTGGACGAACTCATGGCTGGGCGCCGTCGTGCGCGAGGAGGCGGCGGCTGAGAGGGAGATGGCGCAGGGGAGGAGGCGACTAGGGTTAGGTCTCCCGGCTCCTTAAGGAAGCCGAGTAAATATGATTGCTTCTTTGCTTAATTCCAAAACGGATCCTTACACGAGTTTATATAATCCTCCTAATAGAATAATTGGGCTAAGCCCCTAATAACGATAAGATAGATTGGGCCACAACTAACTGGGCTAAGCCCCTAATATGTTGGTCATAACATTTCTCCCCGCCTGCACAAACAGCTCGTCCTCGAGCTAGAAGGCGGGGAAGCACTTGCGGAACTCCTCGAGGTGATCAACCATCGCCAAACACCTCTGCAGCAGCTGGGGCGGGCAGGTCGCCGAGCCCGGCTGCGGCAGCGTCCTCAATGTAGTCCGCAGCCTCCAGGTAGAAGAGTCGCGGGCAAACGTGGCCGGGCACGTAGGGCTCGTCACAGTTGAAGCACAACCCTTGGCATGACGCTCGAGTTGCTCGGCCGGTGTGTGCCGGCGGAACGGGCGCGCCGCAGCCGTGGCCCGGGGTGCCGTGGAAGCCTGAGGAGGACGACCCTGCGCGGCAACATCCGGCCAGGGTGGCGGCCCAACGGCCCGGGATGGTGACGCCTGCTAGATGGCCACCACACGGCGCTCGAACACGCGGGCGTAGTACATGGCCGTCTAGAGGTCCTGGGGTCCCCGCAGCTCCACGTCTACACGGATATGATCCGGCTGACCACCAACGAAGAGCTCAACCAGCTGGCGAGCCGTCACGCCGGGCGCGTGGCCTGCCAGGGCCTGAAAGCGGTCGGTGAAGCCCTGCATAGTAGAGGTGAAGGGAAGACGGCCCAACTCCGCCAGCCGGCTCCCACGTATCGGCGGCCCGAAGCGAAGGAGGCAGAGCTCACGAAAATGCTCCCATGGAGGCATGCCGCCCTCATCCTTCTCGAGAGCGTAATACCAAGTCTGTGCGGTGCCTCAGAGGTGATATAAAGCGAGCCAGGTGCGGTCTGACGCGAGCGTACGTTGCCCCCGGAAGAACTGGTCACACTGATTAAGCTAGTTGAGGGGGTCCTCGGTGCCGTCGTAGGTATCAAAGGCAAGCTTGGAGAAGCGCGGTGCCGTCTAGGTATGACCGCCGTGGGGGTACGGCGCCGTCTCGGTATGACCGCCTTGAGGGTACGGCTCAGCGGGGCGGAGCAGCTACGCTGGGTCGGTGATCATAGGGGGCCCCCGTGGAACTGCGTCGCGTCGAGGCCAACTTAGGGAACCATAGAACTGGAGGACCCGCCGTACCGTGCCTACTATGACGACACGTGCGGCAGTCCCGAGGCCATCGTGTAGACCGGCTGAGACAACGACTCGGTCAACCAAGCCGGTAGCGGGGACGGCGAGGGAGGGAACCGGACTTGCTGGAGCGAAACTCCCGCCGGCGGGTCGATGTGGGGCCGGAGCTGACCGGCGGTGGCTGCTGTAGCTGCAGTGGCTGCTACGGTGGAGCGCCGAGCGCGGAGGAGGCCGCCAGGAGCGGCGACTGCCACTGCGCCAGGGCTGGGCGGTGGTGGCGATGGATGGCAGCCACAACAGCTACTGTAGTGGCCCGGCGAGCACGGCAAGGCCGCCTGGTGCGGCGACAGCCATGGCAGCCACGACGGCGCGGAGGCGGCAATGGGTACTAGAGGCGCGTCAGAAATAGGCGTTGGCCATTGCGCCACTACGGCCACTGCGGGGCGGCGGCGGCAGCTGCAGCTGGGGCTGCAGCGTCCCAGCGAACGCCTCGGAGGCCCCTGGATGCGGCGAGTACCACGGTAGGGCCAGCGGCCCGATGGCGGCGGTCGGCGATGACCCGTAGGGGCTAGTCAGGTACAGCCGGATTTCCTGGACGGCTGTGACGAGGTCGTTGAGGACCCCGGTGATCTCCTCCGGGGTGTAGGCGACGGCCGGTGGTGCTGTGGAAGGCGTCGGCATCTGGGCGGTGGCGGCGCCGGAGGATGCAACAAGTGGCGCAGACGGGGAGCGCAGCGGTGATGATGCCATAGACCTAGGGTAGGGTCATAGTGTTGGGGGTTGGGTGCGACATATGCCAAAGGATGGCTTATCATGGTGGGAGCGAGTAGAACATCCCCGGTGCCCGGAAGCGGGATGAGGCATAGACACGAACGCCGACGTACTTTACCCAGGTTGGGGGCTCTCCTTGGAGATAATACCCCTACTCCTGCTCTGCGGGGTCTCCGCATGATCACTATGGCACAAGTGATACAAATGTGCTCCTTGAGCTGTATGCTAGAGATATGAGAAGGCAAGGCTAGCTCTCCCCTGCTCTAGTGATCTGGCTAGTTCTATCAGAGTGGGAACCCTTTAGATGGGTGCCCCGGGGGGCTTATATAGGCCTACCCCCCAGGGGTACAACGGTAATCTGGCCGGCTGCTGGGCCCGGCTGTCAGTGTCTCCGGCCTCCGACTTCTCCGCCGACTACTGGGGCCCGCCGCCTGGTGGGCCCCGCCGACTGGTCTGGTATGGAGCCGACATGCCGCTCCCGCCGCGGGCGGGTCTGGTTGGCGGCTGCTCACTGTAGCCGTGCTGCCAATGACGCGGGCTTGGTCAGCTCAGTGTGGCTATAGTCCCGCCGCCTGGCGGGAGATCACTGTAGCCACACCTGGTCTCATCAGGTTAATGGTGTACTTGCTTTGAGGGAGGGGACGGCCGCCTGCTGGAGGCCGGCCCTCCCCTGGTCTGATTGATCCGTCGCGCGCCGTCTTCTGGGGTGTCACTGCCCGAGAGGGCCCACAGCCCGCGGGCCGTACCGACAGGCCGTCGTGGGGAACGGGGCTCCGCCTGTCTGGAGTGACGTCAAGGGTAGGTGGCAACAGTGCCACGCCATGCCGAGATCTCCGTCCATACGGGGCACTGGGTCCATGCCGAACCCACGATTTGGGGATAAGGGCTTCACTGTATCCACACCCCATCTCGTCCTCTTGATGGGGGCATAAACTCTGAGGGGGCGAGGTGGCCGCCTGCTTGATGCCACCCTCTCTAGAGGTCGGCTGGCTAGAATCAGCCGCTCGTGGTGCCGTCGGCTGGTGGTTGGCCGTCCTCTGGTGGTCGGCCGTCGAGCTAGCCGGCCCCCGAAGGGCGGAGCTTCAGCTTGGGGCACAACAAGGCGGAGCTGGCCCAAAGTATTGATAAATCCAGGGACTCGGGTGAGGCTACCCATGGCCCATTACTTTGACACATAGGCCTGACCTATACGCCCCACCTAAGGTCACTACCCTAGAAGCAAAGACGTTCTGAGCACAGCAGGAAGTATCAACTGAAGCAATCGAGTGCGATCCACTCGACCAGTCACCTCACTCGGATACCCCCAATTTCACTCGACCTGGATGGAGTCATTCAACCGTACAGGAAACCACTCGGAGTACAGAAGACCTAGAGTCACTCGGGATGGCAACGGTCGGGCGTTCACTCCGTAGTCTTAAATATCATTGATAACACTTTATAGCTAGCGTTACCAGTAACACCCTATCTTAATGTACATTGAACCCCTGTAATGGAGGATGGCTGGGGTCCTAATGCACTCTATATAAGCCACCTCCCTCTTCTGGAACAAGGGTTCGCAGCCCTTGTAACACACACCCATATTCCAGTCAACTGCCTCAGGGCACCGAGACGTAGGGCTTTTACCTCCTCCGAGAGGGGCCTAAACTCGTAAACTCGTGTGTACAACCTCGTCGTAGCTAGGGCCTCGCCTCCTCATACATACCCCCTATTTTTACTGTCAGACTTAGTACCACGACAGTTGGCACCCACCTTGGGGCAAAGCGTCTTAGTAACTTCCGGCGAGGTTGCGTTTTCTCCGATCTTCATCAACATGGTTTCCGGCGATGATTTGGTCATGGGCAGCGAGTTCCGACTCGGTGTGCTCACTTTCGTTGCCGACG